TGGGTGACTACATATGAGAAAACTTATCAAATTGTACACTTCCAATATGTATAATTGATTATGTGTCAATTATACCTCAATGAAACTGTTTAAAATGAACTACTGATATGAGCAACAACCAAAATAACTTCAGAGCCATTATATTGGCAATAAGAAGCCAGATGCAAAAGTATGTACAGTATCATTCCATGTATATTTAGTTCAAGAATAGACAAAGATAGTTTTTGATGAAAATAAAATCAGAATATTGGATACCAACAGGGGGTGAGGGTGGCTATTGAATAGTGAGGGGCATGAGGGAACCTTCCAGGGTGTTGGAAATATTCTAAATCTTGACCAGGGTGGGGATTACATGGGTCTTAAAAGTATAAGAATTCATACATTTACAGTGAGCATACTTTATGAACTTTATGTATGTTATACCTCAATTAAAAAACAAAGAAGAGGAGGAAAAGGAGGAAGAAGACAATGCAGTGAATCAAATGCCAGTACTGAAATGGCAATAAAAGTCTCTGGAACAGCATGAGATTGCCCCTTGGGGGTGACCAGAAAACAAAGATGCTTTTTAAAGAATAGCATAAGGCGTACTCTCATTTGAGAGTGTCCAGCCCAGAACCCCTACAGAATTGGAAGCTGATTCTAAAGCAGACACTGTGTCTCTTCCAGCTGGTGTTTGTCAAGCCTTCTGTTTCTAATGGCATAAATATAACTGACTGCTGCTGAAAAATTAAGAGCATTTCTACTCATGAAAAAATAAAGAAATTGGAGTAAAAAGACCTTATTAAGAAAAGAATTTCAGTGTTCACTAATTCATGCTGCTCTAAATTTCTTGGATTCAAAGTCAACCGCAGAAAAAATCTAACTTACTTCTATTAAAAATGGAGCAATAAGCTTAAAACTTTGTGTCTGTGTTTGGAAAGCCCTTTACCATGTTGCAGAAGGAGAACATCTTCAGGCTTTTAGTTTGGGAATAATGGTATAGTCCTGGCATCTTAGCCTCTTCTTTGTTTAGGGCCAGGATTCCCCTTCAAATTTCTGACTTGTTTCTGAGTATGCTTGTACCCATGAGTTGGAGGCATAAAGTGGAACATAGAAGGAACATCTCTACCAATGCTTATGGCCTTCTCCACTGTGGACAGAGTCCCTCTTTGCCATCCCCAACTTTGGCTGACTTGACTTTAATTGGTATTTCATTCTCCCATCCTAGTGGTATCTACCAACTGTCTCCTGTGGAGGAGTCTTGGTCCTGGCCATCCTAGTGTTAACCTGGTGACAGGAAGACCAGAAAGAAGCCATAATGATTCCTCTTCCACCAAGGCAGATCTGCCTGACTCCTATTGTTAACTCTTGCCTCCTTCACATCCCTCCATCTCTAGATTGTGAAAGGAGTTGTTCCCTGGTGGGTGAGATCCAAATCAAGAAATGAAATATGAGACCTAAAAAAATCTTGGGTCACAGATTCTGTTTGCAGAAGATGTTGAGAGACCATCAGAGGAAGCGGACACTGGGGATGATGTAAGCTGGAGACACGAGGAAAACTGGGGCTACCGGCACCCATTTTTTATGGCAAAAACGATACACATTGACTTTTGAGTGTTCCTTCTCTATAACACCCCCTCTGCCCTGATTTCTTAAATAACTCTTTTTAGTATTTAATCACTACTAAGTTCAAAGGCAAAAAAAACCTTAGTTTTTCTATATATGAATGTTTCTCTTGTTCTAGAGTTTGCCTGCTTCACAGAAACCTACACAATCTGAGAGTAAAAATTCCTTCCTTTGGAAGCTTGTCATTCAATTTATAGCAATATTGAAAAATAAATACATTATAAATTTGTTATTAGTGTCTGAACAAACTCTACTCTGATACCCATATCTTAAATGTGGTCTTCTTATAAATAAACCCAAGTTATACAAAGTAGATATTTTTGTGCATTTCAACCGTAACACAGTGACTTTAGGACTATAAATAGTTCTAAGAAAAAATGAGTATTTTATGTACTTTCATTTTTTTCTCAAAATTTCCATTCCCTCCCACACTTATACACACAAAACCCAAACCATAAAAAGGTGTTTTTTAAATAACTTCTAAATTCCCCACTATGTTATGTTTCCAGGCCAGATTACAGTTAAAACAAAGTTTTGACAGACAGAATAACTTATCACTTAGGCCACAAATCTTAGTCTTTGGGGAACAAAATGAATCATAGCACAGTCTTCTGGGCACTGTCTTTGTATGTTAGTGGTCTATCTTTTCCTGCCAGTGATGATGTGATCTGATTTTTGATGACGTAGGAATTTGGCAAGTGGAGCCTTCCCATGTCAGCTGTCTTCCTTCCCTACCAGGGATGCACACTCCTTGGTTAGTTTGGAGAAACAGAGCAGAAGTCAATGTCCTTTTGTTCCTAATTGTATTCTCTTTGTTTTTTTTTTTTTTTAATACATTTGATGCATGCTTTTGCTTATAGCCATGTCCATTTACTTTTCCCCATTAACTCATCACACATGTATCAAGTGCCTACCATGTGAACCTGGACTCTGTATTAGTCTGTTCTCATGCTAATAATGAAGACATACCTGAGACTGGCTAATTTATAAAGGAAAGAGGTTTGGTTGACTCACAGTTCCACATGGTTGGGGAGGTCTCCCAATCATGGCGGAAGGCAAAGCAGGAGCGAAGGAATGCCTTACATGGCAGCAGGCAAGAGAGAGCTTGTGCAGGGGAAATCCCAATTGTAAAACCATCAGATCTTGTGAGACTTAATTCACTACCACGAGAACAGTATGGGGAAACTGCCCCACGATTCAGTTACCTCCCACTCAGTCCCTCCCACGACATGTGGAAATTATGAGAGCTACAGTTTAGGATGAGATTTGGATGGGGACACAGTGAAACCAGAGCAGACTCTGAAGCCAGATTCCCTGGTTAATACCTCAGTTCTGCTGCTTAGTAATTCTAAACCTTGGGCAAGATCCAGTGCCTCAGTTTCCTCATCTATAAAATGAGGGTGATAATAGTACTCATCACATAGGTTGTCTTGAGAATTGCCTGAGTTACAGATAAGGGGTTTAGAATATTGTTTGACTCATAGTAAATACTATGTAGGTGGTGTTTTTACTGTTGTTGCTGCAACAAATGCCAGGCCATGGAATTTACCTTGTTGGCACATCAGTTTCCCTAAGACCAACCTCTTTAAAGCTGGGTACCCAAACATGTTTCTTCTCAAGGCACTTTCCTTCTAATGTCATGGGTACTGTCTACCCAGGCCTGATTTATCCACATCAGAGTTCCCCAGCCTTGAAACTGTTGGTTTTGTGGACCAGATAATTTATTTCTTGTGGGATTGTCCTGTTAGAAGTTTAGCAGCATCCATGGTCTCTACCCAATAGATGCCAGTAAGAAACTCTTTCAGTTGTGACAAGCAAAAAATGTCCCAGACTTTGCGAAATGTCCCTCTGTGGACAAAATTGCCTGCAGTTTTGAGAACCACTTATTTAAACTGGTAAATCCTCCTGCAGAGGCGGCACTGTGGCTGCCCCCTGCATTGTAAGGCGGCTGCTGGTTACATGTTGTCATCTTCTCTTCTCCCTGGGCTTGTTTTTGAAGCCTGGAATATTTCTCTTATTCTTGAGTTTACCTGCTTCACAGAAACCCACACAATCTGAGAGTATGAAGAGTTTGAAGAGTCATGTTAGATCTGCCTCTTGAACCACATATTTGGAGGCACAGGGTCATTTCTGCTGTTATACTGAGGTCTCTGTAGTAGGAGGGGCTCCTCTTTAAAGTATTCACCCCCTTCTCAATCTTGCGCTTTTCTGGAAAGAGGAAGAAAGCACATAGCCTTCTTCGGACTTCTGATTGCAGCTGCCCTTGAAGACAAGCCTCCCAGCCCTTGTAGCTTAAGGAATTTACTGCTTATCACTACGGAGAAGAAGCAGGTGTCCCAAAATCTCACACTTGGGAAATCTTGCTGTGTGAGATGGGGCAGTATGGTCCTTGGTCCAGGTTCTCCATGCCCCTTGCCCTTGTTAAGAGTGACACAGATGGTTATTGTTGATCGAATGCTCACCATATCCCAGACCCTGGGCTAAGCACTTTATAAGGATTGGCCTGTTAATTTTTCACATTTGCCATCTAAGGCAGATATTTTTGTCGCAATTTCGTAGATGAGGAGACCTCAGCATAGAGACATTAAATCCACTGCTACTAAGCAGCAGAAGCATGGATTTAAACCCAGGCATCTGGCTGCAAAGTTCTGAACCCCAGTGATGCATATTCTCCCATCTGCTCACATGGCACCACCTCCCTTGGTCTCTAGAAAGTGGCGGCTTGCTCCTTGGACCGTCCCCTGTTTCTGCTCTAGTTAGATTTAGGCTCCTACATTCCATCCTGGTCATATACAACTGTCCGTCATTAGATTACCCTCACGCTGACCTGAAATGTGATGGAAGTAGTTTCGTTTGTTGTTTTGTTTTGTTTTCTTGGTAGTAATGTCACTGAGACTCACCCGCTCTCCAAACCCTATTTTTTGGTTCTCCCTATGCTGAATACTAAACCCATTTCTTCCCTGCCTTTAGGCTGACCTTGAGCTTCTGCTAACTGATAAGTCTCCTATGAGGCGTAAACTGACCTTTTAAATTGCATTAAAACCTTTGAGCTAAACCCATTGGCCACAGAGTTTACGTTGCTGGCAGCAGGTTTCCTAACGCCTATATTTCCCTAAGACTAACCTCTTTAAAACTGTTAATTCTCTAAGCAAATAGTGGTCACTTTTAATACACGCTCAGCTCCTTCCCAGATACAGGATTCCATATAAGCCAAATATAAAGATCTTAGGGTGGAAAAAGATTATACCTAATTTAAAGGGCCTTTACTGGAATTATATTGTATTGAATATTGTTCAGAATATGTTGGCACTGGAAAATGTGGTGTCTTTTTCCTCCTGTGACGTTGGTGGTTTATGCGAACAGGTTATGATTTGGACCATAAATCCATGCATTACCTGACTTCTCTTTGGCCTACCTTGCTTTTGTTGTGCTGAGGCCACATGGATCTGCTTTTTTTTTTTTTTTTTTTTTTTGAGACGGAGCCTTGCTCTGTCGCCCAGGCTGGAGTGCAGTGGCCGGATCTCGGCTCACTGCAAGCTCCGCCTCCCGGGTTTACGCCATTCTCCTGCCTCAGCCTCCCGAGTAGTTGGGACTACAGGCGCCCGCCACCTCGCCCGGCTAGTTTTTTTGTATTTTTTTTAGTAGAGACGGGGTTTCACTGTGTTAGCCAAGATGGTCTCGATCTCCTGACCTCATGATCCACCCGTCTCAGCCTCCCAAAGTGCTGGGATTACAGGCTTGAGCCACCGCGCCCGGCCTGCTTTAATTTTCCACTTTCTATTACAACCGTGGCTTTGAGAGCATTGTCCTTAGAGTGAAAAAAATAACAACAGCATCTATAGAAAGCACTCAGAGAAAATGAAGGCCATAAAATGTCAAAGTACAAATGAATTTTGTAGAATCTTTGTCTGAGAATATTTCTGACTAGCATCGAGAACATTCTGTTCTCCTCCTTTATTTTCTTCCTGTGCCTTTCACAGGGAGGACAGGTCACAGAGACACACAGACCCGCAGGAGGAGGGCTTATTGTTTAGTATGGATTTATTCGTTGATTCAAATAATGCAGGAGGTTTATTGAACACCTACTGTGTGCCAGGCGCTGGAGATATGCTTCCCTCCATGTAAGAGCCCGGAGCCTAATGGGGAAGACAGGAATAAACGAGTGCAGTGCAGTCAGGAGGTGCATTGCAATGGTTAAAGTCTGGCCAGAGTTTGGGATCACAGAGCAGAGTGACGATGATGACAGTGACAACCAATGTTTATGAAACACTTTCTACATCCTGGGCACAGTGCTTTCTACACATTATCTATTTTTTAATCCTCAGAACAACTTTGTGTAGTAGAAGCTACTATTGTCCCCTTTATACAAAGGAAGAAATTGAGACTCAAAGAGAAGATTTCTAAGTTGAATCTTAAAAGCCAAGTAAGAATTATCCAGGGACAATTTAAAAAATAAATAAGATGCAATGTAGGGAAAAGAGGCATTATCCAGAGGGAAGAAGGAAGAGGCCATGATTCTGGGATGAGGAACAGCAAATACGAAGACACGGAGCAAATGGATGAGATGACCTTTGTGTGCCAGGGTGGCAGTGGGAGCCGGGACAGCCGAACCTCATTTACACAACCTGGTCCTGCGCATGGTTCCGGGATTTCAACCATGTGACCTGTTGTCGTGGAAGAGTAACCTGTGTTTCCCAACATCCGACTTCAGTTCTCCTTGCCCCTCGAGTGGCAGAGCCACTTAATTAGGTAATGTTCCCATGTGATTGGGGTGACTAATTCAACCTTGAAGTGGTTGTTCCGGTGACTCTGAGATTAAGCTCAACAGCTGGGCCTCTCTGGGAAAGTTGGCAGGGCTGGCAGGATCCACAGGGATGTTGAGTTCTTAGTCTCCCAAGCTGGACTTCAAGGGGCCTTGAACAAGTCACTTAACTTCTGTGACATTTGCTTTGTCCTGCAGATGCCCTGAAAGCAAAGACTATGTCTGGCTCAAGTCTGTGTCCCCAGAACCTACCGCAGAGCCTAGTACATGATAAACTGTAAAATGGGGATACCAGTATTATTGCAAGGCATTTCAGGTGATTAATGATATTTCCAATGAAAGCCTCTAAACTGCTTAGCGAAAGGTAAGGAATAAATAAATAGTCCCCTTTCTCAAGTTTCCATAATTGACTAGTCGTCATTGATCTAAGTCTTTATATTTAGAGTTGGCAGATATTCGTTGTGCTAGGAAAACCGTCTTGGCCCCTGCTTCATGCAATTTTAGTTTGCAGTGGGTGGGTACAAATGAGAGCAAACCAGAGGTAGAAGTTTTTTCCATACATAGGGCATGCCTAGTGGAAAAGCAGCCTTTTCAGCAGAGGAAGGCGGGTCGAATGTGCAGCAGGACAGAAAAGCCCAGAGCCCTGATTGTGCCCATTGTCCAATGACTGCTCCTTTGCAAGGGCTGATCCCTGACATTGAATGGCGGGAGGGTGATGACTGCATTGAAATATCTACTAATAGGCAAGGCCCTCCCTTCCTCCACACCCTTTCTCCTCCGTTAAAGACTTTCTGGAAAACAGAGCAAAAACAATGCGGCAACCCCAAGGGTTGATGAGAATTGCGTTCTCCCTGCAGCTTCTATTACCCTTGTGCCTTTGTCCCCATGATGTTGGTGAAGGGTATAGCTGTCAGGTGTCTCTCCTCCCTGGTGCAGGGTAATCTGGACTGATTGACTTGTCCATTGTCCTAACGTTGGAGCTAAAACAAAACAGGAAAAGCTGCTTGGTGAGGATGAAGAGGAACTTGGTGGCCAAATGCTATTGCTTTCCAGGCATTGGACACAAGGCTCATTCTCTCTGAGAAACTTACATCCAAAGGCAGTGACTTTGAAAGGACTGTGGCTGTGGAATTAGAGACAGATGCGTAGCTGGCCATGAGTAGATATTAAATTGTATTAAACTATGCAAACTGCATTTCTCATGCAAGGCTTGTTTCAACCTTACATCAGCCCTTGAGCTGCATTTGCATTTCTATAGAGAACGAAATAAAAGCAGCATGTCACTTACTCATTTCTATTCATAACTGTGAGCTATTATTCTAGCTCTCATCTACCCTACACAGCACTGCCAGATTAATCTTCCTAAACCTCCATCAACAGTGAATTTAGTTCCCAGCATTTCACTGTATCAACTCATGTTTATAAGGCCCAGGTGCTGAGAGGGATATAAACAGACTTAAGACGGGACTAATTTTAAGGTAACCAGACATCCTGCTTTGTCTGGGACAATCATTGCTTATGCTTGTTATCCTGATACAATTATTAATAGTGCCTCTTTTCACTCTCAAAAGTGATCCTGATTAGACAATGAATTACTAGGTCGCCCTACTCATGTCTGTCAAGTGTTCATAAGATAAAAGGGGTGGAAAGGATGAAGGTAAATACGGTAATTACAAAACAAGGTAGAGATTGGAGGCAGAGGAGTTAGGTGTTTGCAGAAGGAAGGGAGCCACTGGGGCTGAGAGTGATAGAGGAGGCTCATTTAGTTCTAGGACTTGGCCTTGGCTTCGAAGAATGAGGATGACTCAAAAAAGAGGGAGAGAGGCTGGCACAGGTGTGGGAGCCGTGTGAGTTAAGGGTATATTCCATGGCTCTCAAAGGGTCACCTAGGTAGAGCTTCCTCTGGGAAGAGGAGAGTGGGAGCTGCGAGATGGGAGGGACAGATCTGGAAGACTTGAAAGGCAGGTGAGGACCTCGTGCTTTACCCTGGGGGCTGAAGGAAGCCATAGATACTGGCATGAAATAGCCAAGGTGAACAGGAGGATTCAACTGGTCCTGGCGTAGGACTGGTCATCCCACCACCAGCTGAAGACAGAGGATCTGACCTGCAGAAGCTGCCCCCAAACCATCACACCATGCTGCCTGCCCCTCTCCCATGGCCTGCTCGATTTCCTAGGTAAATTAAAAATTTTCACCCATGACAGGGTGAGGCAAATGGATGTTCTGGTGTCTTGGTTTCCAGAAGCCTCCAGCCAAGAGTTGACATGAGCTTGCTCTTTTAACATCAGTTAAAATAATTGTTGTAGCATGATTTCTGACAGGAACAAAACAAAAGGATACACTTACCAAAGCAGGCTGTGCAGTCAGGACATGCGTGATCCTTCAGAAGGCCTTCGGGGAGTGAGTGACTCGCCACAGGGTGTGCTCCATATGGGGAATCATCTTCTTCATAATTTTGCTCAACTGGAATCAGAGCTAAGGCTCCATGTGCACAGCGGAGAGATTCATTTTGTCTTGTGCCTGCCTCTTCCTCCTTTCTTACTTCCTTTTTTCTTTCTTTCAACTAGAATCATTGAGTACTCAACACGTGGACACACCCTAAGCCACGTGCTCTCACTCCATGGTCGCCACAGCAACCCAGTCTTGTGAGATCAGAGCATCTTCATTTTGCAGATGGAGAAAATAAGCTTCTGAGAGGGTAGGGGAACTGCTGCAGGTGACCAGCTGTATGCATTGTTGAGCACCTTGCCAGGGTAATTATCATCAAGCAGGTCTCTGTGAATAGTTTGATTATTTCTAGTAATGCTCTTGAGGAAATGAAACCAACAGAGAGCAATACTAGGTCAGTGATACTCAAGCCTGACTGTGCATTAGCACCATTTCAGCACTAGGTGCTTAAAAAATACATGTTTCTGGGCTCTGTCCCCAGAGGTTCTGTTTTAGTGGCTCCTGGTGGAGCTTAAGAATCTGTGCATTGTTTTTTTTTAAGTCCACTAGAGTAATAGTTCTTCAACAATAGTATGTATCCATTGTTGAAACACAGATTCTGGGCTCCAGCCCGTGAGTGTCTGATTCAGGAGGTCTCCGGTGGGCCTGAGCATTGCATTCCATACTGCTGCTCTGCGGAGGACACTCAGAACTGCTGCCGGAGAGGTTGCTAATGCTCATCCTGCCCACGAGCTGCTGGGGTGGAGGGCTCCTGGACTCTGCATGCTCAGATGGTTTGAGTCTATTTTGTGGAGGCCATGATAGGATTAGAGGAGCTAGACCCAGGGTGGCTACATATGAGCCATCCCCTCTTCCTCGAAAGCTGGGGTAGACATCATTCACTGACCACTGTGCTCTTTTTAACTGAGTCCGGGCTCAAGGTCCCTCTCATCTCTCTGTAGCCCGCCCATACCAATCAAATGGTGTTGGCTCACAAGCCAAACCTATTATTGTTTGCTAAGCTAGACTTTCTAACCGGCACTTCCAAAATCAGTTATTGAAAACTTCTGTTTGTTTGTGGCATGTGTGCCTTAAGTGTTCATGAGAGGGAACCCCTTGGGGAGTGGTTCTTGACCTTGGCTGCACATTAGAATCACCTAGTAAATTCAAAACAAAAAGAAAACCAGACTATTGGGCTCCTTTCCATGTCTGAGGTGGGGTCCAGCTGCTTGCAGCTTTATGAGCATCACAGGTGATTCTAAGGTATGGTTAGGATTGGCAGCTATCGGATGGAGGGGGTTGCTAGAAGCTGTGCAAACTGTAAAACTAGTTGCTAACTCCTGTCCTCTCCCTGAAGATTCCCCTTGCAGAGCATCCCCTTCTCTTCTATGCACCTCTTTATTTTTCTGCCAAACAGAATAGAAAGGAGAAGCAGCCAAAGACCTGTTGACAACATTGTTGTCTCAGAGGCTTCCTGACAGGCGGCTGAAATGGGCAGCAGCCACTGTCCTAGAATAGCTGGAAAGGAGCCATGTTTCTGGAGCAGTTCCCAAAAAACTCGTCTCTGACAGCAGAAGGTGTCACTCCCCTCGCTTTCTTTACCTTTTGTGAATTTTGGAATGCAGAGGGTCCCATCGAGAGGAAATGTCTTCACACAGAGACTCCCCAACTCTCAGCCCCACGGTTTTCCTCTCTGCTTGGTGGCCGGCCTCCCAAATTTAGACTCGCGCCCCCTTCACAGCTGCCACTCGTGCTTTACCGAATTGCTGTTTGTGGAAGTCACCAACACACCCTAAACAGCACTTCTTCTCTTTGCTCTCCCTGAACCATCCGACTCTGTTGATCACTCTCTTTTCCTGGGGACCCAATTTTTCTGCTTCCTCTCCATTCCTTCTCTGTGTCCTTTACTAACCTCTTTGCCTTCTCCTGCTCCTTAGTGGGAGCATTTCCCCAGGGCCACCATCTTTGTCCCATAGCACTTCTCTACACACCGTCCTTCCCCTGGGATCCCTTCCCCAGATCCATGGCACAGGTCTGACTGATGTTCTGAGTCCCAGTCTCCTAACAGTGTCTGTAGAACTTCTGGTGCCCACCAAATTGGCCCTGTCTCTGGATTCCCCCATTTTCCTTCTGGGCACCAGTGTCTATGCTGATCTCCTAGACATGGGCTCTTGGATGCATTAAACTCTGTTATCCGGTTCATGTCTGGTTCGCCTTTCCTTTGTGCTGCCTCTCACATTGGCCATTCCTGCCTTTGCCCATCTGTTAATTATTTGCTGCGTGCCGGGCATAGTGCTACGTACATCTGTTATTCCAGTTAAACTTCACAGCAACCTTATGAATCAGTGGACAGGATTATTATTATCCCTGTTTTGTCTCTGAGGAGACAGCCTTGGAGATGGATAGGAACCTTGACTGACTCGTGGTGGAACAGAAATTCAAGCTCATCCTGAGCCTCTGAACTCTCACTCTTCAGTGCCGTACTCGGTTGCTGCCTCCTTGCCGCTGCTCTCAGTGGCTTCCCAGCGCATAGGGAATAAAGACTTAGGCCCTTGGATCAGCACACAAGGCATTTCTAGATCTACCCTAGCCCACTGTTGCAATCTCATCTCCTTTTATCCTTCCACGTATGAGTCAGTCCCACATGAACCGGTTTACTCCCAGGTCTCAGGGTCTCTTCATACTTTTCCTCCTCTACATTTTTGCCCAAATCCTTGGTGACATCTGATACACCAAGGGCAGCACCACCTCCTATGCTTAGCCTTCTTCTTTTTATTTATTTATTTATGTTTTTGAGACAGAATCTCACTCTGTCGCCTGGGCTGGAGTGTAGTGGCAGGATCTTAGCTCACTGCAACCTCCGCCTCCCGGGTTGAAGCAATTCTCCTGTCTCAGCCTCCTGAGTACCTGGGATTACAGGTGCCCACCACTAGGCCCAGCTAATTTTTTTTTTTTGTATTTGTAGTGGAGACGGGGTTTCACCATGTTGGCCAGGCTGGTCTTGAACTCCTGACCTCATGATTTGCCCGCCTCAGCCTCCCAAAATGCTGGGATTACAGGCGTGGGCCACCGTGCCCGGCCTTCTTGACCTTTCCAAACTGTCCAAATTCCAAAAGCCTTTTTTTTCGGTGTGTACTCTCTTGTGTTTTAAATTCCTTTGGTGGATTTTATTTTTATTATTTATTGATTTATTGAGATGGAGCTCTGTCACCCAGGCTGGTGTGCAGTGGAGCCATCTCGGCTCACTGCAATCGCCACCTCCCAGGTTCAAGTGATTCCCTTGCCTCAGGCACCCAAGTAGCTGGGATTACCGGTGCGTGCCAGCATGCCCCAATAATTTTTATATTTTTAGTACAGGCAGGGTTTCACCATGTTGGCCAGGCCGGTCTTAAACTCCTGGCCTCACGTCCGCTTGCCTTGGCCTCCCTCCCAAAGTGTTGGGATTACAGGTGTGAACCACCACACCTGGTTCCTTTGGTGAATTTTGAAGTGAACCTGTTCTCAACAGTTTTTTCAGGTATTTCAGCGTTATTCTCCTAGACGGGTTATAAACTCTTTAGGATGGGAACTACACTTATTTCAGTGTCCTACAGTTCCTAGCATGCTTCCTTGTTAGAGCTGACCTTCCTAGAGTTGACTTATTTTGACTTCATGCTCTTGTCCATGACAGCTGTCTGTCAATATGAATTGACAATATGTGTGCAGGACAGTATGAATAAGGATGTGAGATGCTGCCCTACCCTCGGGGAGCTGTTCTGCTAAGGTGCCCAGATCTGCCAACAGCCCTCTGCACTGCTGTAATCTCTTGTTAGATTAGTTTTCCATCCTTCGTGGGAATCGTTTTTCTTCCTACATTTCTGTTTTTAAAGTTTGCATAAAATGGAGACTTGGCTGCACACCAGGGAGGTTTAGGAGAGAAATGAGCAGTGGGACCTCCCCAGCCAAACCTGGCTGCAAACCGCTGACTGTACAGGAATACGAATGACTTCTAGTTGGATGGGCGGGGATCCTGGGGGACGCTCTTCATTTCTGCTTTTGATCAGGAGCTGGGCCAGCTTTGGAAATCTGAGTGTTGGCACAACCCTCAAATGGTCCTCCTGCTCTGTTATCGTCTGGGGTTTCTTACTGGGTGTCCACACTCAGAAAGGACCCCCCTTTCCTGTAAGCTTGCTTCTCACTGACTGGCACAGCATGATGATTAGGGCGGTGGTAGAGGTGTGGGCCATACGGAACTACGAGCATAGTTTTCACAAGCACTTAAACTTGAACAGAACAAGATTAACAATATTAACATGCATTACACTGAGACATGACGCACAGGGAAATACCTCTAGGTACCCTTGGGACAACTGTAATGATCATGACTTAGGATTTCCAGATTCTCCTGACTGCTTGGACTTGATTCCAGGCCCAGGTCACAGAACCTTGGTTACCTAAAGGAAGAACGGCCAGGGTTGGTGATACGGTTTGGCAGGGTTGGTGATATGGTTTGGCCCCCACCCATATCTCATCCATAATTCCTACGGGTTGTGGGAGGGACCCGGTGGAGATAATTGAATCGTTGTGGCGGTTCCCCCATACTGTTCTCATGGTAGTGAGTAAGTCTCGTGAGAGTCAACGGTTTGATAAGGGGCTTCGCCTTTCGCCTGGCTCTCACTTTCTCTTGCCTGCTGCCACGTAAGACATGCCTTTATCCTTCTGCCATGATTGTGAGGCCTCCCCAGCCACGTGGTACTGTGAGTTTGTTAAACCTCTTTTTCTTTATAAATTCCCAGTCTCGGGTATATCTTTATCAGCAGCTTGAAAAAGGACTAATACAGTTGGTGAGAATACAGAAGTACAGGCTAGGTATGTTCTATTTCTTTTCTCTAATAGGTGAGAGAAACAGACACCTCCATCTATTTTCACAAACTGAGATTGCTCTTCTTTCCACTGAGTAGATGTTGCCTCCTCCAGCTTGGCCCCGGCCACCTGCTACTGAGAAGCCCAGCTCACCCAAGTCCTTGTTACTAAGGGCACTGCAGAGGGGTCTGGAAATAGTCTGCCATTTCCACAATCAGGGTGGGGGCATGGATTTGGCCCCTCTGGGCACCTGTGGGAGTGTAAGGGTATAATTTCTCTACCGACCCCATCCCGTGTGGCCTGTTGCCCCGCT